TACTATATACTATACTATATTATATTATATATTATATTATTTATTTATTATATATATATGAGTGTGTGTGTGTGTGTGTGTTGTATTGTTCTATAGATATATATATATATATATATATATATATAAATATTTACTTGAAATTAGATAGAAACTTGGTTTGAGGCGTATACTGCAGAGAGAACGGTCATATACTTATCTATGCGTGTTAGCAGTATGAGTTTGTGTACTGAATTAACGTGACTTGTGGTGTGTGTGCGTATCATTCAGATATGTGTCTAAATGAATCAGCTATAAGCCCAACTGGCGAAACACTCACAAGGCACTGGTTTCAAACACTTATGAGATCGAATGGAATTGTGTTGGTATGTATTCGTGGTTGTGTATTTGTATACGCATATAACCCATGGGTGTGCACACGTGCTTGTATACACCTTTCATAAATCCACCTACATATCATTCATTGACTATCTACGTCTTAAATACACCTTTCATAAATCTACCTACATAGCATTCATTGACTATTTACATGCCAATCCTACTTTCCTACGGAAACGGCTCGTTAACACGTTGAAAATCAGTTGTACTTCTAAACGAATGCACTCATGATACCATCTGTGGGACTACAATGTCACTACGTACACATATCTACCCCCTCTCATGATACCATCTGTGGGACTACAGTGTCACTACCTACACATATCTACCCCCTCTCATGATACCATCTGTGGGACTACAGTGTCTCTACTTACAAATATCTACCCCCTCTCATGATACCATCTGTGGGACTACAGTGTCACTACCTACACATATCTACCCCTTCTCATGATACCATCTGTGAGACTACAGTGTCTCTACTTACACATACCAAACCCCACCCTAACCGATATATCAGGTGAACGAAGACTTAGAAAACGCAACGAAAGAGATACACGTGATCAAAGAAATGGTGGATGAGAGCCATGAGATGTACGACCGCGTGCAGCTGATTGCGTATAAAGCACCTCTATACGATGCGGCAGCCCAAAGGTTAGTGCTTGTGTGTACATCTATGTGGATATATGTATATATGTATATGTATATACATTTATATATATATATATATATATGTATGTATGTATGTATGTATATATTTATATATATTTGTATATATATAATATATGTATGTATATATAGATATATATATATTATATATATATATA